TCCCCGGTGTATGAACAGTTTGCAAAGCAGCGAAGGGCACTGATGATAGGTCAATGGAAAGATAATGAGTGGCTCCCTGAACGTATTAATGACTATTCTAATCCTGCTACATGGGCTGAGGATGGAACTTATGGTTATGGAACAGTGGCCCATGTTCCAGTACAGACATGAAACGGACTTAACCCTAGTGGTTGGTTCACAGGATGGTTTGATTCATTTGGGGGTTTGAGAACTCTAGTGGGAGGAGTTCTACTTCTGCTGGCGCTTTGTATGTTACTCCCATGCCCGATTCCGTTGCTGCTCCGTTCCATCAGTAGTATAATTGATGCTACGATAGAAAGGAAAACAGCAGCTTATGTACTCGCCCTATGGAGGTATACGCCCCTGAATCAAGAAGATACTGTATAACCCCACTTGCCTTGAACTCAGTACTAAGTATGCCTGGCCTTTTCAGTAATGATACATATCGGCCACCTGTATCCAGGTGTTGAAGCATCAAAGGGGGGATTATGGTAGAAGCTACAGAATGCTTTACAAAAACATTTAGGACCAGGGCACATTTGTGGAATGCCAGGAATGCCTACCAGTAGTTAATGTATGTAAGAGATAAGTGTTAACCTAATAATTGGATGATAATCATTGTAATATGGATGTGACTTTGTATTTTATCTATACGTATGGAATATGTAATTTATGGTATATATTCTTTGTTCTGTTGTTGCTCGGGGCCCAGTGTATCGTGTATATCAGAAGGCACTGGGACTTAGCAGCTGCAAATAAATAAACAGCTTTTGTCTTCCAACGACCTGTGATTGGAGTGTGTTACTGTATTATCTGAGACCTAAGAAACAAAAACACCTTCAAACACACACACACAGAGACAATTATACCTTCAAACACACACACACAAAACTACACCTTCAGATATACACACCCTAAGAATCAGTAAAATGAACATGAAATACATGGGTGCCACTGCCCACTGAGCCCACCTTCCTCCTTGAAATGATTTGTGCTCACTCCTGGCTGAAACGACCAGCTTCCATCCAGCAGAAAGGGAGAATCACAGTGAACGCTGAACTACAGTAAAATGAAAGCAGGGAAGTTCTTCCCCTCTCTCTGCCAGCAGCTCTGTTACTGCCTGCCTGCTCACCCCCTCTCTTTGCCAGCAGCTTTGTTACTGCCTGCCTGCTCACCCCCTCTCTATGCCAGCAGCTCTGTTACTGGCTGCCTGCTCACCCCCTCTCTATGCCAGCAGCTCTGTTATTGCCTCCCTGCTCACCCTCTCTATGCCAGCAGCTCTGTTACTGCCTCCCCTCACCCCTCTCCATGCCAGCAGCTCTGTTACTGCCTCTCTACTCACCCCCTCTCTATGCCAGCAGCTCTGTTACTGCCTCCCTGCTCACCCTCTCATGCCAGCAGCTCTGTTACTGCCTCTCTACTCACCCCCTCTCCATGCCAGCAGCTCTGTTACTGCCTCCCTGCTCACCCCCTCTCTATGCCAGACAGCATTTCACATACAAGAAGCACAACTTTGAGAGCCCGGCATGGGCTGTCCAGCTGTGCCTGATTGCTAAGTCATGCTTCCTGTGTGTGCAGGCTATCAAGACAGAGAGCAGCACTATCTCCCTCCCAGCTTCTTCTGCTTGCCTGTGTCTCAGTCGGGAGCAGGACTGGTGCAAGGATTTTTGCCACCCTAGGCAAAGCCTCATTTTGCTGCCCCCCATGACCCAAATCTGGACTCTGCCCATTGACTCCACCTATTGACCCGCCCCCTCACCCAGCCCACATAGTGAAAAACAAATGTAAAATGATGGGGAATGGTGATGGTGGGGAATGGGGAATGAGGCTAGTAAGGTGATGGTGGGGATGTTGCTAGTAACTTGGGGAGTGGGACTTGTAAGGTGGTGGTGGGGCTATTAATGTGGGTGGTGTGTGTAGTAAGGTGGGGTGTGGGTCTAGTAAGGTGGGGAGTGCGGCATGTAAAGTGGTGATGGAAAATGGGACTAATAAGGTGGTCGTGGGGAGTGGGGCTAGTAATGTGGTGATGGGGCTACTAATGGCTATTAATATGGGGTGTGGGTCTAGTAAGGCTGGTAGTTGGGCTTGTAAAGTGGTGATGGGGAATGGGATTAATAATATGGTGGTGGGGAGTGGGGCTTGTAATGTGGGGAGTGGCGATTGTAGGGTGGTGATGGGAAATGGGACTAGTAAGGTGGGAAGTGGTACTTGTAAGGTGGAGGCTAGTAATGTGGGTGGTGGGGGTAGTAAGGTGGGGCCCTGGTCGCAAGCCACATTAACAGCTCACTGGGCTTCCTGCTCGGGAGTGGAAACACAGTAAAGTGGCGGCCCGGCAGTAAGTAATTAGGCGTCCCGGCTGATTTCTTAATGCTACAGGAGCGGCAAAATGACGCTCCTGTCAAATTGCCGCCTGGAGCCATAGCCCAACCGGGACCAATGGACGGGTCTGCCCTGCCCCTGATTAGTATTTTATACAACACCATAAATTCTCTATAATTTACACCATTTATTAAAATATTGATAATAATAATGGTGTGATGCTCCATTTACTTGAATTTATATTACAGATTTTAAAATTTTCACCCCAATCCAGTTCAGTCCTGACAGGGTACAAATTCCATTTGAGAAACAGAAACATTGTTTAAAAGTGTATACATTTCACAAGGTTGGCTCAAAGTTGGCCCCCCTGATAAATCTGGTCCTGAATAAAATAAAAGACACACGCATAATGGACAGACTGACGGCCCAAGTCAAAGGCACACTTAAAGCACACAAGAGGGTCTGGGCACTCTGGACAGCGGGGGACTGGGGCGACTGAGAGCCGTGAAGTAAGAGGAGACACAACACACATACACACCCAGCAATGGGAACCCTGCTTCTGGTGGACAGACCGCGGAGTCGGGGGACCCGGGGTCGCCGCGGGACATCCACTGGGCCGCCTGGACCTCGAAAAAGCCTATGGCAGTCTACAAAAGCCGAACCACTGTGACCCGACAAACCGCCTCAGCCAGATCCGAACACAAGAGGGACAACTTCCCCCCTCACTTCCCATCCCTCATCCCTTTTTCTTTTTTCCCCCATGTTACGCCAGTAAGAACAAGAGAGCACATACTATATAATAACACGCACTTTGCTATAGATAAGCTCCTACCGAGACTACTACTACTATAAAACCAAAAGCTCTACTGGAAATGTTAATTTCACTGTGATAAAATCATAGAGTAAAGGAAACCCAAAGTCGTCAGAACGCAAGCATACGTCTTTGGGAGGCAGGGGAACCAACCAAGATAGCTCAGAATGAGTACTGTTCGTTTTTACCCATGTTATAGAAGTTTGCATTGCGTATTGTAATTAATATTAAGTTTACATGAAATGTATCGCAACGACTCACCAAAAATAAAGAATTTTTTTTAAAAAGTGTATACATTTACTCATCAGTTTCTCCTCTAACTTCCAAAGTGTTTTCTGTTTTATAATGTGTCTTCAATACAGACTTTACACACCATTTATGTAATGGCAATCATCCACAGACACATATAGGCTCTGTATCATTATTTGCATTCTGCCTTTATGAATCCTCTACAAATCACTCCTTATCTTGTGTTTAAAGGACCCTATGTCTTCAATTGTAAACTCATTGAAGCATGACCCTTTATACAACTCATTGATTCCACCATTGCACGGAGCTGCTGAACATTGTGCAGCTCATTTATAGTAATAAAAGATTTAATATAACCATTAATGCAGAGTTCATCATTGGTAGTCATGACTTCCCAGAAGAGGGGATTTAGATAAGCTCACATGAGCACATTTAAAGGGCCGCTATGTTCCCCTGAACCACTAAAGCTTAAAGGAACACTTAGTCACCAGAACAACTACAGTTGAATGTAGTTGTTCTGGTGACTATAGTCAGTCGCTGCAGGCTTTTAAATGTAAAGGAAATGTTTACATTACTGCCTAGGAACTTCTCTAGTGACAGTCACTCAGACGGCCCCTCGAGGTGATTCCTGCAGCAATGTCCAGCACTGACATTCAGTATCTCCACACTCTACGTGGATGCACTGAATGTTCCTCCTTCAATGCATCTCTATGAGGAGATTCTGAATGGCTCAGCGTGGTGCTTTGCAGCGCATGCGCATTAGCCTCCCAATGCTTTCCTATGGGAAAGACATTGTGATAGGTCCAAGGATGAAATGCTGCCCGTCCCCTCACCAAAACCACGCCCTCCAAAACATGCCCACATCTATTAGGGTGCATCACGATAACTAAAACTAAAACTTATCAGGAAGTGTTAATACAATTTTAAAAATAGGGTTTGTATTGTGTGTGGATAAGGAGATGTATTTATATTGAAAGACGGGTTTGCAGCACTGGATACAGGTGCTTGTAGTGTCGCTTGCAGAGCCACCATGTTGCGGCTCCCTTTGCTGCTGCGTTGTGAGCTCTCTGTCTGTAGTTATGGCATAATTTGCAAACTGAATTAATTTCAGAATAAACAAATTTAATTTGCAGTTATGCTATTTGTTTATACACGATGCGGGGTATAGTTGCATAGCCTGGTAGTCGTGCAAATTTAAGCTGTGTGAAGGGGTTATTGGTTGGGTTTAAAAAATAATAATTTACCAAGTAATAAAGATAAGAAAACAGTGTCATAGACATTTACCCCACATATTCTATAATCCTTTTACATATACAAGGTGCCCTAAAAGTAGGTATACAGTTAAATCAATGAAATTCATCACAACAGATTATATGGGTACACATACACACTGACAAACAACAAAGTAGCAGTTAAATTTCAGGCATTAATGTTAAAACGACATGCTAGTATGTTCACTAGAAAGAGCAACACAGAACACATGACACGTGCTGACTGAGGGCAAAATATGGGAAATAGCGTAATGGCAAGTTATACCAATATTTAACCCTAAAGGATACACGACGATTGATGGTCACTCATCTTATTCACCTATGTATAAAAGAAACCATATGTTACGCAATGTTTGCAACTGTAATGACACAATTAACAGAGACCTGCGAGTCTCTACCTGTATTCTTCTCTTTACCTGTACTCAAAGTAAAAGTTCAATAAATACAGATTTACAACAAAAAAACTAAAAAAATAAAATAAATGTTTTCAGGCATTTAAATATCAGTGTTGCAGTTTCTGTACTGTTATTGCGAATGATGACAATGCACTTGAGTCAAGAACAAAGAAAGTGTATTCTGAAGCAGTACTGCAGCCCCGTGGAGTTGCATAGACGAAGGAGGGCCTTGACAGTTTGTACTGAGCAAAGCAGTAGGGATTGGTAGAGAGGATTAGGAGGATGAAGGGCATATAGGGGCTGGGGACCTTTACACAGCAGCCATTTTATGGGTAAATTTGTCCATCTATCTCTTTTGCCCACCCTCCATCCCTAGTTGGGATTTAATGGTGTTGGGACACTACTTCCAAGTTCTGACGGTTTTCTCTTTCTTTTTCAGAGGCAGCTGGTCACAAAGATGGCAGTTCCGGAAGAAATAATTATTGCAGCCTTGGTGGTAGCTTGGTCCTGGGGATGGTCCATGGTCTAACAATGAGGATTTGGTGATAGCCTAATGGAGGCTTGGTGAGAGGTTGTGAGCCAGAAGAGGGGCTCGCAGCCTAATTGGAGGCAGGGCAGGCGGTTCTGTCCCAGCAGTTGGAGCGGTTCAAACACGTGGGATCTCTGGGAGCAAGCTGGGTGCTGGAAAAGGTTAAATTGTTATGTTAATTATGGTATGCAAGTTATACATGGTTATGTTAAACCTATGTTATTGCTAAGTTATTAAAGGTACAATGTATATGTAATGTTATAAGGGCAATTACCAAATTTTGCAAATAAAATAAATAAAATGGTTGTTGCCTTTTCTATCCACTATGTCTGTGCCATGTGGTTTTATTTTTGGTAGATACAGCCTGGTAGTCAAGGCTAAAACTGTTATGGAAAAGTAAGAAATGCAGAGCAAGTGCGCAAAGCGTGTTAAGAAGCATTTGACACTCCTCCCCCAATATGACTGGCCATTTATTGTATTAGAGATAAATCTGAAGAAACGGGTGCAGTGACTAACGCACCAAAATCTGGACATCCTAGGACGTCTATGACAGAGGAAAATGAGATTGGAGTTGCTTTGACACTTGTGAACAGTCCGAAAAAGTCCACATGATATGCATCTCTGCAGATATCCATTCCAAGAACGTCCTTGCAGAGCTTAATGCGTAAATTGAAAGACCGTTGGTTGCAATTCTGTGGGTAACCAAACCTCTAACGAACCAAATCTTTTTGATAACATCATCTGGTCACATAAGGCTTCTTTCAAATTGTCAGGCCACGTGAACAGACATAACTGTGTGTATTGGGGAGATGAAAATCCTCATTTGACTATCACATCTCAACTGAACCAGCCAGGCGTCACAGTGCGGGGTGCACAGTGCGGGGTGCACTGTCCACCAAAGGTGCTGTAGGACCAGTTTTCTTTGATAGTACTGTGGATAGTAACATTGCTTGCTTGTTACTTACTTGTTGCACAACATGGTAGTGCAACAAGTAAGAAGCAAGGCTAAATTCGCCAAGCTGCTCTTCAAAAAAGATGGGGCACCTCCTCACTATACTTTTGTTGTAAGGGATTACTTTGACAACACTTTTCCGCAGCTTTGGATCAGACGACAGGGCAGCATTAAATGGCCGCCATGTTCACTGGACATAAGACCAATGGATTTCTTTTCTTGGGGTGTAGTGAAGAATAAGATGTGTAACAGGAAGACCCAGACAGTGGACAACCCGGGAGCATTTATGGACATTGATGCGGAATGGAATTTGTTTCATTCTGTGTGTCACAGTGTACTGGACAGGATTCGAGGAATGCTGCATCGTTGGTGGAAGACATTTCAAGCACTTACGAGATTAAATAATGTTAAACAAATATAAATGTAATAAAATGCAAATAAACTATACTGTATACCTACTTATGGGCCACACTGTGTATTATCAAATATGTAATTTATATGTGTTTCCCCATGTAGTGTTGTTGTGGTCGTGACCTAAATATGAATATTAATCTCTTAATACATAATAATTAAGCAATACGGAACAACATTAATATTTTTATAATTCATGGTATTATGGTAGAATATGTGGATAGAAAATACACAAAACGTTGTAATATTAAATGTATATTTAATATAACTATAACAAATAAACAGATGCTAGCAGAATGTCAATTTACTACAATTGTGATACAATACAAAACTACAACATATTACTTACAAAAGGTTGCTACATGTTACACAACATTTTACTTACAAGGCCCCAGCCCTTTGGCTGGGGTTAAGTCAGAGCTGGTACTACATCTTAGGTTCAGTCAGGTACAGGCAAAGAGACAGAGTTTTCTCCTCCATCTGGTTTTATTCAGTGTAAGTAGGCTGGCCTGTGATGTCACTGCCAGAAGCACATGTCTTCCTACACACTCCCCCTAGTGGTGCCCCCAAAGCATTACACTAAATATGCTTTCTTTATGATGTAAAGTCATTAATTAATAAATACCATTACAAGTGTATATGTATGTATATTATATATTATTTATGTTGACACTTTATCTTTGCACTGCCCTTATCTTACCACCCTCACATTGCAGCCATGGACACACACACTAATATATGCACACATATATATACTGCTACATGCACAAATATACATACATAAGCACATATGTATACTCTGATACATGCACATGCATACACACACTGATGCACAGAGATAGACACATTGGCAATGAGAGGTGAGTAGGGAATGACAGTGGGTAGGGAGGGTGAAAGTGTGTGGGGTTGACAGTGTGTGTGGGGGGGTTGACAGTAAGTGTGTGTTGCGGGGGTGACAGTGTGTGTGGGAAGTGAAAGTGAGTGTGTGTGAGATAGGGTGACAGTGTGTGTGGGGGGTGGTGACAGTGTGGGGGGATGATAGCCCATGTGTGTGGGGTGACTGTGGGTGGAGGTAATAGTGTAGGGGGTGACAGTGTGCTGGGAAGCTGTGTTTTAGTGACCAGCCTTCCCACACTGAAATACCTTTGTTTATCTAGTAATCGATTTCCTGGTAGTGCAGTGGTCTACCTTCCTGGTGGTCACGGTAGTCTCACTCCCTGGTGGTCCGGTGGCCTTATTATCCAGTTTGCAGCTCATCCAGGTGCAGACAGACCATCTGGTAGAGTTCTCATGAGCTCTGGCACTTGAAGTGTCAGATTGCTGCCATGTAAACCTCCAGCAACGCTCTGATTGGCAAGCTTGTGAGAGCTCTACCACTGCAGACCGGAGGCGCTGGTCTCTCTCTTTTCTCTAGGGCAGACATATAGGGCAAGCCGCAAGGCCCTTGGTCATGGACCGAGAACCCAACGGATCAGCCTGCCCTAAAGTGATTTGGCAGCCCCAAGTCAGCGCAAGCCCCCTAATGAGAACGCTGCCTCTGCAATCCGCAGATAAGCAGATAAATGTTTGCTGATTGTCAATGGCTGCTAATAAAGGAATGATGGAAAGAGCATAACCAATTAAATCAAATTTACTTAATTTCCACTAACATAGCATTTTAGTAACAGAAATTAAGACAATGGTATCAAGACCTGTCCTTTAGGGGAGACCTATTCTGCCTGTAAAAGTTCTCCTCCCTACCTCCTGCCTGGTACTGCAGGCTACTGCACTCTGGGATCGTTGTATACTGTCTGAGGAGCCTAATCTGCACAGCCCTCCCCACCCTGGTTGAACACACTGATCTGTGCATGGCCCCGCCCACCCAAACTGAACACAGTGATCTGCGCACAGCCCCGCCCACCTAGACTGAACACAGTGATCTGTGCCTGGCCCCGCCCACCCAAACTGAACACAGTGATCTGTGCACAGCCCCGCCCACCTAGACTGAACACAGTGATCTGTGCCTGGCCATGACCACCCAGACTGAATACAGCTGCCCACACTGTAGACACACATCTCAGCTGCCCACACTGTACACAGCTTAGCTACACACACATATATACAAACACACTCTCATTCTATATGTGTGTATGTATATATACAACCATTTCTAGCATTGAAAATGGTCAATTTTTAAAAATTAGTTTAGAAGTGGTGGTGCAGGGAGTTTCTGAGAATTTTGCGGGTGGTGTACTTTGGCCCTTTGTAGAACAGCTCATTGCTCAGGCAGAAACCTGGACTACAGACAGTATAGCCCCTTGTTTAACAGTCAATAACAAAGTTCTGGGCAACATGCAAGTGGACAGATTGCGCTGGTTTGTGATTTTTTGAAATCATTGTACTTTCTGGACTCCATGATTATACAGACATTGTTAACGTTCCCATTGGTCTTTCTGATACGTGTAGTACAGTTTCCAAATCCATTTCCACCCATCTTTGCTCTTTCTTTTTCATTCTTTCCCTTACTTTTTTTTTCTCTTCTTTCTTCTCAAGGTTATATACTTCATCAATGTATTGTTCTTTTGTTTTTTTGTAATACAAGTTACTTGTTATGAAGCAGTATTAAAATGCGGAATAAAAAAAAATAAAGGATCTTTTTCCATGCTAAAGTCTGATAGAAAAATGTTTGCTTTCAACATGTGTTCCCCCAATAAATACCGTACAAGTATAGGTTAAAAATATCTAAGAATGCAGGTTGATGAGAATTTAGTAGTACAATCTGTTAACAGCTGGATTTCATTCCACACATCTGGGTCTTTCAGAATGTTTCATCGTCAGTTAAATATAACTGTACAGAAAAAAAAAATGTGTTTTCAATTGTGAGTAACTAGAAAGCTACATTCTTCAATCTATTGCCTTGTATTTGCATAAAAGCAAGATACACATCATGTCTTTCTTGATTACCATGCATCATTTTAAAGAAATTAGTTCTTAAGTAAAGCATTCTTCACAAAGAAGAAACCAACTGAAAGAATGTTATGAGGATATACCCTTGATATATAGTGTAGGACTGTACATGTCTCCATAAAAATGAAGGATATAACCACTCTCAAAATTTGAACAATGTAACTATTGGCAATGGCAAGTCTTGAATTTTGGCTGGAATCCTACATAAAGTAGGATGCCAAACACCATAACCACTGCAGCATCCTGGCACCATAACCATTTCAGCATGCTTGCCGGATGAGTATTCCATTAAGGTCTCTCCCAGTTTAAGATTGATCAGTGGTTAGTGCTTCAGCACTAGCATCTCTTGCGCTTGTTCAAATCTCATGATTACAAGTTTAACTCCTAGAAAGGGAAACTTCAGTGGTGGAAGTAATGTAGGAAGGTCCCTGAGACAAAAAATATTTCGCCTCCCCCACCCCCCTATAGAGCAGGGGTGGCAAAAAGGTAGATAACTGTCATTTGACTCTGACGATACTTTGTCATATGTAGATCTAACATTTGTCCATCCTTGCAGTGTTGCACGTGTGTGAATGTAGGTTTATGATTGCATGGAGTGTGTGTGTGAATGTTTATGTATTTGTGTATATAGGTGGTGTTAGAATGCAGGGGTGTATTTATCTGTAATGCTGGCACTTGAATACAGGGGTGCATTTTTTATAGTGTTAGTACAGGGTGCAGCAGAACCGATTAAGCAGTTTTGAAGGGTTAATGCTCGAGCTCTGGTGGGGGGGAGGCAGGTGCACCTTTTCTCATTGTGTTCCGTTCGTCACCCCATTTCAGTAGCCAATATGGTTTGGACCGGAATACATCGAGGCTTTGCCGTGTGGGCGTATTTTGAAAAAAAACAGTCTGTGATCGCGATGCAAAGAGCTTTTTTCGGCGACGGTTCAACATTCCGCGCTGTTCCTAATGCAAATACAATTCAGTCATGGGTTAGGCGGCTGGAGGAAACTGGTACCACGCTTAGAAGAGGTACACATGACCGACGCAGGTCCATAAGAACACCGGAAAATGTGCAGCTGGTGAGAGCAGCAATTGAGCAGTCGCCAGGACGTTCTGCTCGAAAGCATGCTTTTGCTTTGGGAATGTCATGTAGCAGTCTGAGGAGGATTTTCTATTTAGATTTGCAGTTTCATCCCTACAAGATGATGTTGGCTCATGAATTAAGTGTAGCAGATTACCCCAACCACAGAAATCTATATGAGCAAATGCTTGCACAGTTCCCTCCCGCAGCAGTTTTCTTCAGTAGCAACAAGGCACATTTTCATCTCAGTGGAGCTGTGATTAAGCAGGGCTCAAAATAACCCCGGTAAGATTAATGAAAGACTGCTACATTCCCCTAAAGTAACGGTGTTGTGTGCCATATCACAATTTGGAGTGATAGGCCCGTACTTTTTTGAGGAGGAAGTTCTGAATGTTATGAATTCTGAACGTCATGTCTCAATATTGGAAAATTTTGTGCAGCCCAGAATGGAAGTGATTGTTGAAGAAGAGTAAGTGGGGGACTTCTGGTTCCAACAGGATGGGGCTACAGCCCACTCAGCCTGAAATTCACTCAATGTTTTGAAAGAAATGTTTCCCGAACGTCTGGTTTCTCTGAGGGGTAATGTGGGGTGGCTAAGGGAGCAGATTATTGAAGAAGTTAACGCCATACCCCGCGATATGTGTGAATGAGCTGTACAAAATGTCAGAGATCGTCTACAACAGTGTGTTGCTGCTAATGGCTGCCTTCTCAAGGACATTATTTTCAAAACTTAATGAATATAAAATGGTATTTACTGCTGAATTCGAAAATAATAACAGTTTTTCTCTATATACCTCAGTTAAATTTTAAGCTTTTTGTAAGAGTCCTATTTATAGTTAAATCACCCCTCTAATAATATTGTAAAGCGCTATGGAATCTGTTGGCGCTATATAAATGGCAATAATAATAATAACAATAATAATAACAATACAACTTTTATTAAAATAATAGCAGCAGACGTTGCACAGGCAGAAACAATAAATGGGGTACATGAATATAGGTTATTGCCCAACTTACTAATACACTCAGCAGAAACAGAAAAAAAAGGCAGGAAGGGGTAAATTTTGCAGAAGAATAGGTGAGTCAGGTAAGACAGAGAAAAAGAGAAGAAAAATATCAATAATTTGATGTGGGGAAGAAAGCCAGGCATCCCAAATGGTATAAAACGTTTTGGGGGTATGATGGACCGCAGTGGTCATTTTATCCATTTTCTTTGCCTTGTTGATTTTGCGGATAACTGTGCACATCCTGGGAAGATTACTCTCTACCCACAATTTTGCCGTGCGGCTTGCCAATGCAATTTTGGCTGCCAATTTATTTTCGACTACTGTAAGCAGGTCCTGAGGTATAGAGAGGAGTAAAGACCAAGAATTTTGAGAAAATGTTTTAGACAGAATAGTAGAGATAAGAGACGAAACAGTAGACTATGGAGACCTGCAACCATGGATATACTGTATGTGCTCTGCTCGCTGCAACATTTCCAATAGAGGTCAGTAGACTTTTGAAGCATTTGAAAAAATGTTTGAGGAGCGAAGCACCAGCATAGTACGGTTTTGTAAGCCTGTTCCTTGTGTGTCACGCATAGAATTAAGCAAGCAGTATATTCCCAAGTATCCTACCAGTCTGTAGGGTCATTTGGAGGACCTATATTCTTCTCCCAAGCTGGTGTATACAGCAATGTAATTTTGAAGGGTTGAGAAGTCAGAGCAGAGTTGAGGGGGGAGATTTGACCCTTATGTAATGGTGTGGTAGGACATACATGTTCAAAAGAGTACTAATCCCTAACCAGCGGGGCAAAATGCGGATATAGAAGCAAAACTGCAAAGTTGCACATAACGAAAAAAGTCAGAGGGAGAAAGAAGATGCAAGTCGGGAATATTTTAAAAAAGGAGAAAGCCTTAAGAAAAAAAAGATAAGACATTTTACCCACAGAGGAACCTTTAACACAAAACAAGGTAGTGCTGTAATAAGACAATCTTTGACCCTAGATTACAGTAGTGGACTCAGAAAACTAACCAAACACCATGTGCATTTAAAAATGGTAAACAAACATCCAGAAAAAGTCCATATAAGCTGTGTTATGCAATAAAAGATGCATTACTCATCTTAATGCTTATTATTTAATCATTAACCGCAACAAAATATTCAAGGGTTAACAGTGGCACCAAAGGACCTGTCATTCTCTGGTCCTCTTTTAGATGGGGTGTTTTTTTTTTTTTATTAAAGCAAAGGGCCTTGCTATGCCTATTCATGGTAATGTTTACCCTAAATACCACCATGGACCAGTATACTTTATATTTATGAGCCCAATACACAAGATAAAGGAAGAGGTCTAATCACTGAGCTGTCCACATCCATTTTTTGAACGTCCTTACCTGTAACTCTCATTACATTTGGGTGGGGGCTGATAGTTCTGCTTGCCTATCTCAAGGTTATTGCTCACACAAGCCTCAAAAAATACATTTAAAAAAATACATTTAAAAAAATAATATATATATATGTATATATACAAGTCCAAACTTTTGCACTCCAACAGTGAAAACATAAATAAATACCTGGTGCCCAGTCACAAATTTATAAATATCTACCTAAGTACCGGCACTCCAAGGTTATCATTCAGGTAGGTTCTTTATTTGACTTATTCCAGCAAGTCAACGTTTCAGTCCCTCTAGGGAACTTTCATCAGGACATCACAAGTAAAGTATTGCACTGATACAAGCTTTACATAGGACAAGCAAAGATCTTAACACCATTAAGCCCTTAGTGACCAGACCGCTTTTCAATTTTCTTACCGTTTGGGACCAGGGCTGCTTTTACATTTCTGCAGTGTTTGTGTTTAGTTATAATTTTCCTCTTACTCATTTACTGTACCCACACATATTATATACAGTTTTTCTCACCACTAAATGGTCTTTCTAAAGATACTATTATTTTCATCATATCATATAATTTACTATAAAAGAAATTATAAAATATGATGAAAAAATGTAAAAAAACACACTTTTTTGAACTTTGACCCCCAAAATTGTTTCTAAATTTTGTCCTGAGTTTAGAAATACCCAATGTTAACACGTTCTTAGGTTTTTTTGGAAAGTTATAGGGCTATAAGTATAAGTAGCACTCTGCTATTTCCAAACCATTTTTTTCAAAATGAACACAAGTTACATTGTAGCACTGAATAACCCTTCACATGTATATCTTTTTTAAAAGAAGACACCCCAAGGTATTAAACTTGGGGTATTTTGATTCTTTTCATGCAACTATTTTACCATCAATCTATGCCAAAAATAATAATAATCGGTGATTTGTTTGACACACATAGCAATTTAAAAATGCATGTACTGAGAACTTTAAGGGTTACTGCCAAAGGCCAAGCTACAGAGCAGAGCAGTTGCATGGCCCTGCAGCTCCTGCGATTTGCACTTAAAATACCCTAATCTGACCGAAGTAAACCGATCAAAACAGCTAAAAACGCTATGTCATAGAGGCAGAACCAGCATGGGACGCAAAAATAAGAAGCAAAAGCCCGACCAACCGAGACTGGGCCTCGACATCGGAGCCATGTGGAGACAGGCTCACGGAGCGACAGGGCCCAAATTGGCCAATTACCCTGCAACTTACTCTGATCTGTCGGACGACTTCTCCCAGGAGGAGGAAGCACACAATTCTACTGGCCTACCGGTAACGACTGCCAAGCCCCTGGACCCAGACATCGCGCCCGTCACATCAGAGATACTCAAGGCGCTGCTGGCAGGTCTCCAGTCCATGCTCCAGTCAGAAATTGCGGGCCTCCGCACGGACCTCCAGGGAATAACAGGGAGACTGAACACCCTGGAAAATACTTCCACAGACACAGCGGTTCACATCAGCTCCATGCAACAGGAGATACGGAGCCTGCAGAGCAATGCGGAGGGCTTTGAACGGCGGTTCGCCGCAAAAGAGGATGCACCTAAAGGTACGGGGAATTCCCGACGAAATGCCAGCGGAAGAATTGCCGCACTTTGTGTGAAGACTTCTAGCAGCACTGATGCCTCAAAAGCAAGCCAAAGCTATAAGCCTGGATGGCATTTATAGAGTCCCCAAACCAGCCAAAGCCCCAACAGCGGCCTCCAGAGACACCATACTCTGCTTTCAGCGAAGGGAGGACAGAACAGCAATCATGGCGGCAGTTAAAAACCATGCCCAGTACCCCTTCGAATCTATGTCTCTCTCCTTTTCCGCAGACTTATCCGGCAGTACCTTGGCCTGGAGGAGGTCGCTTAAGCCATTTACCTCACTCCTCCAACAACAAGGCACGACGTACAGATCGCGCCTCATCCGCTCCCTGCTGGTAACACAAGGCGGGAACACACACAAGGTCTTCGACACACAGATGGGTCCCGGAAAAGGTGAAAACTTTCGTCCCGCGACGGCCCAGACACAGCTCCCCTGCTGACAACTCAACATAAAAGAGCTCCCAGGGGCAAAGATATTCATGCCAACTCCATGACCGGGACTGTCTGACCAAACCAAGACAGAGTTAACTTCTTAAGACTCCTCAGTTGTTATTGTCGTTTACCTGTTTTGCTTATTTTAATGATTTAGCTTACTACCACTAATATCTTAGCTCTCACTATACCTACACAAGCGGTTGAAGCCAGCTCTCTGCATGCCATGCATACACAATTCTGCCACCCACCAGGTCAAAAACCTCTTCCCCCCCATCTGCCATAAGCAGATACCAGACGACATATACCCCTTAGCGGTAATCAGACGGGCATACTTTCCACCCAGCAACAAGATCCTTCCCACGCTACACAACCACCCACACGGCAACAGCGGGGAAGGCATATCACACCACAGCATTAAACATTACCCCACTAAGCTTACCACCTTCTGGAACAAATAACTGATTACCTAGAGGGGTACACTTTACTTTTAGGCACCAACACTACCTGAGCAAACCAAACCACTCAGCGTGCAACATAGCAGAGATCAGACTGTCCATTTGAAGCCATTGTCATATGCGAATTCTTAAGTACACATCACTTACCCTCTCGAAACTACCCCCACTCGCCTCACCATGTGTACCTGTTTTTCCCTTTTCACCAATTTGAATGTTACTAGCATGTTTACTTTAATAACAAAAAATGTGCAAAGTATTAGCTATGCCAAAGATTACTATGGAATTGCTCGCACTCGCTGTCGTGGCGCTGCAAGCGTGTATGTAATCATATGCACATGAAAAATAAAGAATTTTTTTTTAAAAAAGGGTTACTGCCAAAGAACACCCCAATATGT